AAGCAGTCAGATGAAAGTATACGGTAAATTTCTGAAATACATGTGTTGATAAATTGGGTATTTAACTAAAGTTAGCATGTAACGAGTGAAATTTCCAATGTTCTGAATATCTCTTAATCACAATAGAAATAAAAGTTAATTTCTGTTACTAACAGGCATTATAAAAAAATATTAACATCTTAAAATCTTCTCCAAAAATTTCAATACAATATTCTAATTTCCATAGTTAAAGACATTCATGGTTTAAATCGCATAACAATAAAACATGGAAGTAGCATCGCTAGGAATTTAGAAATTGAAGGATTTGGCAATTACAGTAATATCATGCCAGAGTACTTCTTTCAGTATTAAAAAAATTTTTTATCTGGACATCTCAAATTTTTAATTTAATCTCACGATACAATCAAAGTGGCAATTTTCAAATCAAAGCCACATTTTAAATTACTAAACTAATTTTGTCTTTCATTTATAACATACCAATCTACAACTCAAAAGAAATACTCTGACTCATGTTCAAATGAATATTTTATTTCAGTGCAATATTATGAAAAAAAAAGAAAGAAAAGTGTACCAACAGTAAAATCAAAATGTAGTACTCATCATCATCATTGATTTTCCAGTTATTAAAAAAAAAACCAACGAAAAACAACATTCATAAATATATATAAGCATTAGCATAAATTACACAAAAACAAAGGACACAGAAGCTTTAATCACTTAACTTTATTAAGCACTGAAAATGTGATGATTTATTGATCACAAGGGTACAAAACAATAACAAATGTTACACAGCTAAAAACATACTGCTTAAAAGCTCTTTTGGAGCCTCTATCATTAAACAACATATTTCTCTGGTGTAGCAGTGGTAAAACTAAGGACTAAACCTTACCATACAAGAAGATTAACAGGGCCAGGCAGCTGTAATCATAAAAGGTATTATTCCAAGTACTGAAAGGCTAGTTTTTAAGGTTTGTCAAAAAAATAATAATAATTACAGCATCAAATGAAGATTATAAATTAATACATGGTAACACCGAACTTTTAATAGTACTAATAATATTAAAAAAAAAAAGAAGAAAAAAGTGGAATTCCTTTTTAAGCCTGAAAATGGTTTCAGAGTGTCTGTACTTTCACTTCCTTGTAAAAGCTGCATTGGCCCTTCCCTCTTCTAGTTATGCCTCAGAGGTCATACTGAAAAACTTGTGATTAAACAAAACATACAGAACTAAGATGGAACTGATTTACTCAATTAATGTAAAATAGCCATTGTCACTTCTGAGGAATGTGAGTGTGCACCATGACTGTAAAATCTGAAAGACAATACAATTCACATACATCCAATATTCATAACTTTAAATGTCTATACAGTTGTTCTGTCTCTCATAGGGAACCTTAAGAGAAAGTGGAAAAGTTTAGACATAACCTAACTGCTGGAAGTCTTACAGTTATTATAATAATCAAATGTACTTATTTAAAACACGCCATGATAATGTATTTTTTTTCTGTGTGTGTGTATGTGTTTGTTAAATTTTTTGCATGGCCATCCACATAATGTTACCTGGATTCAAATACTGACACAATACACTATCAGCAAAACAAGAATAAATCAGGAAACCCTTCAAACGGAGTCACCAGCATCACCAAATTTCAAGCAAGACAGACCAGCAATGAACTCGTTTTCTGTAAAAAATACAACAGGAAATTTCACTCAGTGTTCTCTAAACTGCCCCTCACTGCTTCTGGAAGAAAAAAAATCTATATAAAACACACAATTAGATCAGCTTGTTCCCAAACATTCTCAACACTAATACTTACCTTTACCTACCTTACTTGACCAAGACGAAGGTCAGCAAAACCTACATGACTGAATGAGGCAGCTCGGTCTATGCTTAAAGGACCCATTAGTCTCCTAGCTTTTGAAACAAGGTACAATACAACCAAACTAAAGTATTAAACACCTTTTAGTAAGTAAGACAAAACACAATGCAACTTACAATTTTGATGGGATCAAAAATGTTCCTGTTATATTTTCTGTCTCCCCACAGTAACTTAATCTGTGGCATGTTGTTAAAGTTCAGTAAAATAATAATGCTGTTTGTTACAAAACTTGGAAGTTAGGCCATGGCATTAGACAGGGATGAGCCTTGCCAAGATGTACTCAGATGCAGTATTGACTGGTCAACAGTTATACTATCCCAAGTTGTAGGCCTGTCAAACTCACGGTTTATCCCAATGTAAATTATGTTACTTAAGCTGAATGAAACTGAAAGTACGCACTTTCATAGCCGCTCTTAATGTCCGAAAGATGTGAAACTTTTAACAAGGTTTGACTAAAATGTATTTAGAGAGGGAGAAAAAGAGGGGTGGCGAGAAAGGTTGTAATAGGTGTTAGTTTCTTCACTGTAAAAGTTACTTTTCAATGTGTAGAAGATTTGTCTTTCAATCTCAAAAGAACTCAATTCAATTGATGATACTAGAAAGTTTTCCTGGTAAATGGTCTCAGTTTTAAATAGAAATACAGCTCATACCAAGACTTGTAGTCATAACGTCTTCACAATGGGAAAGTCGGCACATCACATGTGATGTCTGGTTATAAATTGTGGTTCTCATCTTACCTCAGGTTAAATTAACATTATTTTATAAGACATTTAAAAACGCTTAAAATGCTACCACACATATATGCGAGTACATGTTCATCTACAAACGTACCTCAGATGATCACAATCACTGCCCATAGCCTGGAAAACTGTACCCAGCATACGGATTTTGTTGAGGGTAAGCCTGCTGTTGTGGTGGGGGTTGTTGTTGTTGTTGCTGCTGCTGTTGTTGTTGTGGATATGCTGCAGGATTCCACTGACCCGAAGGAGCAGGTACCGCGTACTGTTGTCCCTGTGGAGCTGGCTGTCCAGGCTGAGGTGCTGCAGGCGGTTGTTGTCCCTGAGGAGCAGGAGTCTGAGCTGGGGTAGCAGATGGGACTGGAGCAGCTTGTGGCTGTTGTGTATATTGTTGTCCAGTCTAAATAATTTTATTTAGAGAAAGACTTATTAGTAACTATATGGATTTTCAGCTCAAATAAGAAAGGGAAAGAAAACAACAATAAATGCCAGTCATACTTAATTTTTTATCTGTCTAAAACCCTAGGTATGGTCATTTCTTCATAAGACTTAATTTCCAGAATACTGTTGTATACGATAAATAACTAGTATGTATATTATAAAATGTACAAATGAAGACTATATTAGATGTTTTTAAAAATACAAAACCCAAGCACTTTCAAAAGGTGGACTTTTTTTTTCAGGGGCAAACTGGGATGTTTTAAATATATAACAACCATAGATGAAAACATTTTCCTTTGATTCTTAAACTATCAGCATGGACTCATTCCCTTGAAATAGTTTTCATACTATAACTTTTAAATTAGTATATCAACAATATTTGGCAGATTATTAGTAAACATTACAATGCTTTCATACACAAAATATCAATTTTTTTATTATTAAGTCTTAAGGTTTGTTAACCAATGTTTTTCTCGTACCCTTTTCTTTTCACATTTTGCCTTTTCAACAGGCAAAGAAATTTTGATTTTAAGATTAAAAATACTTTTATGCATCAGAAAGTTTTAAAATTTTAAATGTGAAATCTTTATAACGTCCAGATAATTATCAAATGTTTCTTAAGAAAAAAAATTGATATTTTATTTGTTATTTTCATTAACGAATCTCTGTACGAGTTTGGTAGATTTGACCAATCTTATAACCACCATAAAAAAATTAGGAAATAAATATAAATGCCTTTTTCATTCTAAAATGACAAATTATAACATGAAAACAAATGTTTAGACTAAATAGCTTAAATCTCATAACATTATACATTTATATATATTTTATTATATTCACCTTTCAGTCGTGCCTAGCTAATAATACAGAAGTTACACTGATGCGGCACATGTTACCATATCCAATAACATAAAACTGACATTTAGTCTTTACAAAGTGACCTGTCTTGGCTGTGTTTTAGTAGACTAGTATTTTGTAAAATACAGTCACATTTCAATTATTATACATTATATATGTATATACATTATTATTATTTACAAATAAGTTCTTAAACTTATTTTTCTTAATTTATTTACTGTTCTATGTTTTAAGAAGAGATAATTGTTTGCTTTACTTCCAAAGGTCGTAACTTACTCGGTTGCTGCTTGACGTAGGTTGCTAAGCCTTATAAAATTTTGCACGTGGAGGATATGAAGATACTGGTCCAAGAAGTAGAAGTGTGAAAATTAAAAATTTACTAGGTTATACAAGATCACTTAAATGAAAAAAAAGTTATCATCATCACTCCTCAAGGAATATATTAAAACTTTTGTTTACTCTGCTATCTTATCCAGTGATTTACTTCTTGTCATGCTTGTGAGACATGGTTCAAAGATCAATTAAACAATTAAATTAATTGAAAGCAGTTGTGAAAAATTAAGAGAATCCTAAAGCTCTTAAGATAAATAATTGTGATTGTATGTAATAATATCCAGTCATTCTAATGAAATAAAGAAAAAAAAAGATATTTTTAATTTTTTTCATATTTTGCTATAGATAATTTCACTACAGTTAATATTAGGGTAAAAAAAATAAAGAGATAACGTTCAAAGTTTCATAAAATGACCTATGATACTCATTCAAATTAAATAGTAAAACTGTAAAAAGAAAAGAAGTATGAAAATCACTTTTCATTCAGGCCGACTCAGTAAAGGTTTTGTAAATTCATAAGCAAATCTTAAGTAAAAATAATTTCTTAAAAAATCTGATTTTGTTTTATGTACAATAAACTTGTAATGTTTACTACAGCTTGCCAAACTTAGTATATTTAGAATTATATTTCATTGCTATAAGGTTGGCCAAAACCACCAAGCCCACATATAAAGTTATGTAAAGCAATTTAAATAACAAAATATTGATGGATGTTACATCATTATCTTACCATCAATTTTTCTCCCCTGCACAACATTTCATATTTTTCTCTCTCAGGAACCTCACTCACTGGTTGTTTGTTTTCTGCATATGTAGCTTCTACTGGCACATCTCCATCATCTCCCCTTTTTTTCTTCTCCTCTGTTGTATAGAGTGCATTCTCAAAGTAGACTTTGTTACTTCTGGCACGAGGGTGATCAGGGTCTAAAATACAATAGACATACTGTTGCATTTACAATGGTTTGAAGCATTTTTCTGAGGACTGGGATGCAATTACCATTATTTGTGAATATAATGATCTTAGAATATTTTATGTTTGCATTCAATTCTTGGATTCTTGAAACTAAGAATAAATGCTTGATCTAAAAATATAAATTTCAAGCCAGTAGTGTAGACGAATTTATAATAAACACTATTTCTCATTGAAAATATAAATATGTACATAATTTTTTTTTTTTAGTATAGAAAACATATGCTCCTTAAAAAAAAACTTTTGTTTCCTAGAAAAAGGGTTTTGATACCAGTGGTGGGCAGAGTCTAGATAGTCCATTGTGTAGCTCTGTGCTTAACTGCAAACATGCAACCAAATATCTATAGCTATAGCTGAAAAAAATGTGTAGAAAATTATTAACTGTAGGAGAAAAATATGTAAATGATAATAATAAATAGTTTGATAACTAAAAGGAATAATCATTGTAAGTCTGCAGACATACCACTGTGTCACTGGGGGGCTTATCAATAGCATGTCTTAAAAAAAATCTATAATAATTAGAAGATTGAGTGAACTACAAAAACCCAGATCTTTTAAACTATATTCAATGAACCTGTAAAATATCAATAAAATGTATACTTCATTTCAGCGTGGTGTATTGTACTTATTCTATTTAAAACAATTGTATGATTTTTAGCAAGTTTTGTGAGCTGTATGCAATACTTTTTTTCTTTTAAATTTAATAAATGATGAAAATGATACACAATACAAAACAAGATATAATAAGTTTAAAAAAAGCTAAACTCTGATCTACTGCCAAAATAGTACAATTAATCTAAAATGTTAAAAAGGATAAACTATCTGAAATATTACCTAATTTAAACATCCTTACAATACCCTAATATCTCAAAATATTAAATACACAGTAAATTTAGATAATATTTTGCTATTTGAAACACCAACACATAAATATTGAAAAACAGGCCTATAAACGTTATATTACAAAATGTTCAATGTGAGCTTTCCTTGATTTAATAAACTCACCTATTTCTATTAATTCATTTGTAAGCTTTAGTGCATGCTTTGTATTTCCTTGCTGAAAAAGAAAAAAAAATGTGAGCATGTTACAATGGCTATATAAATGTATCTCATACTCATGAAATACAAAGATGTTTTGTTTCAAGAACCACTAGTCTCATTAAAAAATGCAAGCTCACAGATAGGTAAGTACACTTGCCTTTGATAATATTTATAGCAAAATTAACAGAAATACATAGTATCTTCTTAGCTGAATTTCATTATATCATATTGTGAACTTAAAATCAAACAATCAACATCTGATTTTACCTTTAGACACATCTATGCAACTACTTATACAAAACTGCTTTTTTTGAACCAAAGTCAATTTATTGCTGTATTTTATGCATACAATGTGCACATTACTAGAAAGCTTACAGGCTATACTTTTATATGATACTATAAAAGAAAAAACGTACTTAGCAATGTACATAAATTAAAAATATCATAAAAAAATTAAAGTTCTTAAGGAAGAAATTTTAAAATTAATTGATATACTAACCATATATGTAGAGAAAGATAGATAATCAAGGATTACTGCCTTGTCAATGGTCTTTTCTATTTCATCTTCATTGCGTTCTAAAGCCTCTTGCATCCACAGGACTGTATGGTAGAAATCTCCATTATTGTACGACTGTCGGCCAAGTTCAAAACAATCTCCAGCTACAGGCAGAAAGAAAGATAGTGATTACAGACACTAAAGCTTAAATAATTTACTGCTGTTCAAAGTGACAAAATACAGTCACGTCTAGCTCCACTGAAGACACTACATGTTCATATTGTCTAATCTGAATCAGACTTTGTGATCCAGATTGAAACACTTGAAATATTCATGTTTAAGAATATTCTAATCTTTAAATGTTTCCTTAAGATAATGGATAACTTTAATATTTACAACCCAGTTTAAATGATTTTCAATCCTTTAACCTACCCATTGCCAAATTTGAATTATATCTGAACATTACTTCCACAGATGTAGGAACTTATTGGTTTAGTCAAGCTATAACCCAACTAAAATTTGATTTTTTTATGCTTATCTGTATTTGGATTTATTACAAATATTGCCAAACAACTACCCACCAAACATTCACACTTGAGAATGTAACTCTAGTAATATGGTCGTTTCTGAGTGTCTTGTTTCCTTTACCCAAACGTAAACCTTACTTACTAATATATATATATATATATATATATTATCAAGGTGACATGTGCTTCATTTAATGCATCAGAACCAAAATTACCAGTCAATTCAGAAGAATGTTTTGCTCCCCGAATGTACCCTTTAGCCAAATTTGAAGTGTCCAGCTTATATGTGTCTTGCAATCTTAGTAAGGCTACTGCAGCTCCATTCAAGTCTTCATTATCAGGAAACTTCAGATCTTCTCTTTTTCTTGTAATATTTTCAATTAAATCTGAAAAATGGCTCAATTTTATGATTTGTTTAAAAACAAACAGATGTGAAGGATGATTTAGTAAACTATCACTGTGAATATCAGTGACAGATTTGATTAACTTGTGTGGTTTAATATAATATTCACTGGCAGGATTTTGTTTTTGTTAAAGAGAGCAACAAGTTTCAGTAAAAAAGACAACAAACAAGTTTACATGGATTATAAAATGAAAGTACAAGGTTTCAATGGTTTATTTATATTATTATAAACAGTGAGTAAATTTAAAAACATCAGATAGAGCTCTAACATTCTTCCCCAAATGATACTTACTTTTACCTTCACCTCCAAGCATCAAAGATTCTGCATTTTTCCAGTCTGAAGAAAGTCTCTTGACCAACAAATATGCATTTACTGGATTAGCAAGGAATGAATCGACATCTTGACTAGCAAGTTGGTACATCTGCCCATAATCTTCTCTTAACCTGGATAAAGAAACAGCATGATCAAGAAGTTAGTACACCTGTCCATTTTTTTTATCTGCATTAAGTGAGAGTATATGGCTGAACAGTGAACGCCTATGTTTATAGCTTTCTGTTTTGATCTGCATTAACAGGTGTATCTTAGAAATTGATAAAATTATCTGTCTTCTTTTCTTAACCTGCACACCTAGAAAGTGGACTTAAAGACTTTGTGCACCTTTTCATATCTGTCTTTGCATGAAGCAACAGTACAATATAGTAAGGTGTCAACCAGGTTTTAGTATTTTCAAGAGATTAATATGATTATAAAATGTGCAACCAAACATATGTCAATAATAAACAAGGAGTCACATGCTGTACTTATTTTTCACGCAGTGTCATAGGTCTCTTCAAATAGTAGGAAAATTTGTGCAGTTTCTGCAAACTAAAGGATCTTTATAAACAATTTATTTTGATTAAATGGTAGCGACATTCATGCTATAAGTAATGGAAAAATTTTACTCGGTGTATTTCTAAATAAAATTAATATATATGCATTAATATATCTTACTTTACATAACTTAGCTTATGCATTAAAGTATTTGTAAGTTTTTTGTTTTTTTTTTACAATTAAATAAAAAAATATGTTTGGAAATGGGAATTTTTTAATTTAATGATGTAAATGTGCTGGTAAATGGACAAGTAAGGAAGCCTATATTTAATGCTGGAATAATAAATATCTTCATGTGATATATATGCACCTGTCTGTATGTTACCTACATATCCCTTAAATTTGTATATATTGAATCAACACACCCGACTTCTTTTTGGTAGGTGTTATATATTAAATGCATCCTATCCTACATCCAATCTTGCATAAGCTACCTATAGCATTACTCTCATTTCTAACCTTTAAGTGTTTATAAAATTGCATCGAAGAATGTACTGGTACTTCATTAGAAAATCTTTAAAACCAAACTACATATGCAATATCATGAAAAAAAAAGAAAATAAATGTTTACAGTAATATTTATCAAGAGTCACAATACACCTGTGTATTTCACACAAGTAAATAAAGATATATACATGGTTGGAAAGTGTGTTTATATTTAACATACACAAATATTTTATTTTGCTCTACTTAAATGAATATGCCTAGTGTTTACTATACCAAACTAAGCTTACCTGATGTCTTGTCATTGAAAGCAACAGATATTTTTTCTAACTGATATAATATGAAACAAAAACATTTTCAAGAAGGATTGTTTGTTTTGAATTTTGTGCAAAGCTACACGAGGGCTATCTATGCTAGCCATCCCTAATTTAGCAGTATAAAACTAAAGGGAAGGCAGCTAGTCATCAACACTCACTACCAACACTTGGGCTGCTCTTTTGTTAATGAATAGTGGGATTGATCACCACATTATAATGTCCTCATGGTTGAAAGGGTGATCATGTTTGGTGGGACAGGGATCTGAACCCACGACCGGCAGATTGTGAGTTGATGCCCTAACCACCTGGCCATGCTAGGTCTTCAGGAAGGAAAAGAATGACTAAAGAAACAATAAAAAAAATTCCCACTCTTCTAAACTCCCCATTACATTCTTATGTTCAATCCTACAGAAGCTCTGTCTAGTCTCTTTTTGCATTAAATCATAAATTACTGTTCAAATTACTTTATTTATTCTACATTGATGTAAATACTTAATAATATATTCAATTGAATAATGTTTAAATGTTGCCTATAGCTATTTTCAAAGCAGTGCTTAATTTGTAATTGTTCAGACCACATAATTGGACATCATAAAAGGGTGGGAATGAAGCTCATATTAATAAAATTACGAACATAGGAATAAAACAATGTGAGAAACAAAGTAATAGTAATTATACTCTCAAGGGATGACAGTTTCTTAAAAATTTAAACCTATAATTTGGAATGGGCAAAAAAAATCTTAGCAACAAGTGTTTTTCTTACAGGCAAAACTTTTGAGAGCTGTGCAGAAATGAAAGTTGGAGCATTTTCATATCATTTTTCTTTGCAAATTTCACTAAATAAATGGAAAATTATAAAATAGCAATTCTAAGATATTTTAAATCAAAAATTCATAACATCATATGATACCATACATGTTCTAAAATGCTATACATTTGCAATTTTTAAATGCAAGTGCAACCCCTGTTTATAGATTATATATAAAGAACCACAATTGAAATCAAATATTCCCTCCATATAGCTAAACAGTGAATCTGCAAATTCTTTGTTTATTCTTAAAATCCATCTGAAGACTCAGTAAGCAAAAAGCACAAACTTTTCTTCACCCAATGTTAAAAACTCACTTTTTAATAAACAACGACTTATTGTAGACAGTTCTAAAAATGAGACTATTCCCAGTCTCAAAAATACAATAAAAATACAAAATAACTTGCTGTACAGGATAAAAGAAAAATCCCCTATGAGAATGGATGGTGAGTTATTTAGTGTTTTATTGTATATTTTTGTGACTGGAAACAGTCTCATTTTTAGAACTGTGTACAATAAATCATTGTTTATTAAAAAGTGAGTTTTTAACATTGAGGATTTACACAAGTGCCTATGAATCAGTGAATTTTTCTTCACCCACTTCTTCTCATATTTACATGAATATAGCTTCAACTACCTTTCTTGACACCAACAATATTGTACATTGAAACATTATTATTTTGTATCTATGTGTATTTAAAACTATTAGTATATGTAAATGATATTACGCTGAGAGCATAGAAAGTTTTAACATTTCTCCATAGCCTGTGTAAATGCTTGTAATATTCCATAACTTTCTCCTCCCCAATTAATAAATCTGGAGTTTCTAAATTTCATTTAAACAATACCACAGAGTAGGGTCAGTAAACATTCCTAATATATATATGCTTGTATGTTACTAAATAGCATACAAGCCTAATTGTATTGGTTTCCATGTTTTATAAAATTGTTATTACTGTTTTAAAATGCATGCATTTCTTTGAAATCAATTTCAAAGTAATCTTTTAGAAATTGTATAATATACCGAGCACTGTTTGAAGTGAAATACATGATTTATTTCTTAAGTTATAAATTAATTCATAAAACAAATCATTATCTGCAATAGTTTGGCAACAAAGCTTACACTATAAAACTTGAATATTGAAACCAACATAAAATTCCTATCAATTCAAAAACATGCTTTTGAAAACCAGCAACAATGACATTAAACTGATCTGTAATAATAAAATGTTATTACAATGCAACATAGTTTTATATTATGTATTTATCAAATTATCATTTTTACTCATACCTATGTGGTGACTATAGTATACGTAACTGTCTCTATGAATACCAAATCAAATAAAAGAACTCAAAATTCAGTGACGATTATGTGTCTCTTAATAAAATTTGTTGATGTCCATCTGTTGATAAATAGGAGTCTTAAAGAATTCAGATCTACATTAGACACTTTAAAGTATACCACCCTGCACCACATGTCTGTAATTCAGAATAAACAGAAGTAATGATGATAACAGCAGATGTTATGTTGACAACTTGGAGAGAAGTGGCAAGGAAAGGAGGGGTGTAATGATCTGAAACACACACTGGTTTTAAACCCAAACACTGAACACAGTGCATGTTACCATAATGACCTGTGCATTTTTTCAGCACTTTACTTGAAATATACATGTATATCAACTGTATCTCTTTAGCCTTTTGTACTACTAACCTAACGTAAATGTGTCATGATCTTAAAAGAAATACCATTAAAACATAAATCTGAATTTTCAGTCTATTTTTTCATAAATTCTCAGTTTGATAAATTTTAACTTTTACTCATAAAGATGAAAGCCCAAAAACAACTATTTTACTCTTATAAAGTTAAAAGTTTTCCATAAAGAAACTGAAAAAATACCCATGCACCATGGAGCACTGATTCATAATAAATTTTTTTTAGATGTTTTTAACTAGTCAACAAAATACTTTTCTCCATTACACAGTAAAAAGTGTAGTGTTAGAATAATAAAAAATGATAAAGAAAAAACAGATATTATGAGAACATAGACATAGTTTACACTTAAAAATTCAAAGTTCTAGTTTGTTCAGGACTAAAGACGGGTGATTAAATTAATTACCTACGAGTATCGATTATATTGATTAGTGTCAAGTAAAATAAAAATTACTATTAAATTCATTAATGTCATGGAAGTAATGAACTAGTTGAAATTGGTGTTTCCAATTAATACTGTTCCTCCTATATCCAAGTAATCAAAATATTGCCATGATGATTTATCATTATTATTTTTTATTAACTCAAGGTTGTTCAGCTTAAACAAGCCTCACACAAATAATGAGCTAATTGAAATTAGTGCTTATGATTATTCCACACTCAGGTGAGAATAATCAATTAATTTAATGTAACCAATTAATGATTAATCAAATTAGCAAATTCCAGCTATATTCAGCACATAAAAAAAACTATTCAGGTGACTACATTAAGATAACTTTAGAAACTACCTTTTTCTTTAATAAAATCATGTGAAAATTTTATATTCACTATTTTAATTTCTAGGATATAAAGATAAGTATTATTTTTAGTATTTTTTGGAAGTTCCACTTTTAGCAGTTTTAAAGACCTAACCAGAAAAGTACAAACTTTCAGTTCATATACACGTGCAGAGCATACACCAAACAAAAAAACTACATATATGAAATCACTGTACACCCAAATTTAAGTCTGGAAAGCACCAATATTTGTTAATACAAAAGGTTCAGGCCTATGTATATGACCATAGTTTAAAACAATTCTAACAGTTTCTTCACTACTAGTAAGAGTGAATAATAGCAATCTGTATCTAAAGTGCCCCACCAATATACATCATACTTCAATATTCTACAAGTTAATGGCATGTCAAGATATCTAAAATGTTTTGATAGACAAGCAATCAACCTAAAATGAAAATACTTCTGAAAATAAAAACCTAAACATTATATACAGATGTCAATGAACTGAGCTGATAAA